GTTAGCTGCCATGTGGGTGCTGGGAATCAAACCCAGGTCCTCTGCAAAAGCAGTCAGTGTTCTTAACAGCTGAGCCATCTCTCCAGCCCCGGAACACAAGTAAATTTTGAAATGGATTTTTTGGGGGGGGTCTTTTTGAAACAGGGTCTCTCTGTCGCCCCAACTGTCCTGGAACTCATTATGTAGACCAGGCTGGCCTTGAACTCATAGAGATCCGTCTGCCTCTGCCTCCCAGGTGCTGGGATTAAAGGCGTGTGCCACCACATCCAGCCCAGGGCTAATTTCTTAAACATAGGATTAGGCTCTTTAGCTAGCCTGGCCATTGCAAAGGGAGGCATGCAATTCCTCTGGTCCTGTGCCTGCCTGCCTCTTCCAGGCTTCCAAAGACCCACACCTGCTATTTTCAATTAGTGGTGCTACCACCTTCTGACTTTACCTCTTGGGGTGTGAGAAGCATCAATCTGGACTGATCTTGAGAGCAAGAGCTGGGGCTCCAGCTTCTTAGGGCAGCACCTCCTACTTTGTTTCTTTCTAATCCTTTGGATGCTTTTCATTCTGCAGATGCTGAGTTTGTGTGTGAACGGACACTGAAATATTTTATGGGAATTGCCAGAGGAAAATGGATAGTTAGCTATCTCTGTAAGTACAATACAGTTTCTCTGCTCTCCCCAATACCTCAGAATTGCATTTTTACGCCTAACATTTTAACACCTGAGGTTTTTGCTGATGCTAAGTCTGGATTACTAAAAGGTCTATAATAGCAACACAGAACTAGCGTTAATGCTTATTGCTTTCTTCAGATAAACTGGTGATATGAGAAAATGGATTTCTTTTATAACTAACAGGACCTAATCTCCTAGTGTCTGAAGTAGGGATTTATTTAATAGTAGGCAGGAATCCATGTGCAGCAGGCACTTTTATAATGTTTAAATTAAGCATCAACTGTCTCCAGAAGGAAATTTCTGCCACAAGCCTTATTAAAGAGCTGTCACTTCAGAGGGAAGGAACCTTTTACCTGTTCTCTGTTGTGAGTCACTGAACTCCCCACCTCCACAAAAGGAGCATACTGTTCTGTCTGTGTGACCTGTCTTTTCTGTGTTCTCTTTAGGGGTGATCCAGTCTATTAAAAAAAGGAAACTTTTGAATGAGGTAGGTACCCAGTGATACAAACTAATCAGAGACACTTGGTATTGGTGTTGCAGTCAGGAAACATGTATCTGCTTCCCTCTATCAGTACAAAGCTCTTTTCCTTGACAAAGGGGACAATTAAGAGTGATATAGAGGTGGGTGTGGTAATGCACCCCTTTTATCCCAGCACTGAGGAGGCAGAGGCAGGCGGATCTCTGTAAGACTGAAGCCAGCCTAGTCTACAATAGTGGGTTCTGGGACAGCTATGACAGCAGGGAGACCCTGTCTCACAAAAATAATAATAATAAGGATAATGCAGAGCAGACCAGGAAATTCTATGTCCTCATTTCATTCATTCTGTTTCTTTTTTTTTAATGTTTTATTTATTATTTTTATGTGTATGCATGTATTGACTGCATGTAGGTAAGTGCACCCATGTTGTACAATGCCCGTGGAAGACAGAAAGGCTGTCAGATCCCCTGGGAGTTGCAGACAGTTGTTAGCTGGCAATGTGGGTGCTGGGATCCGAACCTGGGTCTTCTGCAAGAACAACTAGTGTTCTTAACCACTGAGCCATCTCTCCAGCCCCTCATTCTAGGTTTCTAAAAAAGCAGTCTTGTCTTTAGAGAGAAGAAACTTACAAAAGGAAAAATTTATAGGGACAAGAAATGAGCTACTCCCAGAACCTGTGTAGAATGCATATTTGTAATCCCAGCACTTGCGCTGTGGCAGAGAATTGGGAGTTGTGGCCTGCCACAACTACATAGTTCCAGGCCAGCCTATATAATAAGAGCCTGTCTCCAAAAGAAAAAAGAAAAAATGGGGAAAAGGAAATAGGCTCCCCTGAATCTTTTTTTTTAGCTCTGGCTGTCTTGGAACTCACTCTAGACTGGGCCTTGAACTCACAGAGATCTACCCGCTTTTACGTCCCAAGTGCTGGGGTTAAAGAACTGTGTCACCACACCCAGCGCCCCCCCGCTCCCCGCCCGTCTCATGCAGCTTAGGCTGGCCCCTCTATGTGATCCTCCTCCTGCCTCTGCCTCCTGAGTTCTGGGATTGTAGGTATATTCTACCACACTCAGCTCTGCCTGACTCTTATATGTGTATGCCTTTGTAGGAGACTGGTTATTCACCATTGTTAAAGGAAAAAGACTTGGCTGAGGGTAAGAAATGACTCAGCAGTTAAGAGCACTAGCTGCTCTTGTAGAGGACCTGGGTTCAATTCCCAGCACCCACAAGGCAGCTAACAGTGGCTCATAGCTCTAGTTCTAAGAGCTCTAATACCCTCTTCTGGCTTCCGCGAGCATTGTACAAGGGTAGTGTACTTAACTACATGCCTGTGTTGTGTGCAATGCTCTCGGAGGACAGAAGACGTCGTTGGATCTGCTACTGGAGTTACAGACAGTTGTTAGCTGCCATGTGAGTGCTGGGATTTGAACCCAGGTCTTCTGCGAGAACAGAAGAGGCCATCATCTCCTGGAACTGGAGTTAAAGACAGTTGTTAGCTGCTATGTGGTTGCTGGGATTTAAACCCAGGTCTTCTGCAAGAACAGCCAGTGTTCTTAACTGCTGAGCCATCTCTCCAGCCCCAAAAATAAGTTTTAAAAAAAAGAAAAAGGCTTGGGGTAGAAATGTGGCTCACTTGGAAGAACACTTGCCTAATATGCATGAGACCCTGAGTTTGATCCCCAGCACTTCTAAAAACTTGGGGCTATGGTGGGCATGTTGGTGCACCCCTTTAATCCCAGCATTTGGGAGGCAGAGTCCGGAGGATCTCCATTGAGTTCCAGACCAGCCTGGTCTATATATCAAGTTCTAGGCCAGCCAACGCTACAGGGAGACCCTGTCTCAAAAAAATCAGAATCAGAAGTTCAGAGTCATCCTCAATCACATAGTCAATTCAAAGCCATCATAGACTTAAGTGAAACTCTGACTCAAAAAAATATATATTTAGCCAGGCATGTTGGCACATGCCTATAGTCCCAGCACTTGGGAGGCAGAGGCGGGCAGATCTCTGTGAGTTCAAGGCCAGCCTGGTCTACATAGTGAGTTCCAGGACAGCTTGGGCTACAGGGAGACCCTGTTTCAAAAAGACAATATGTGTATGCAAATGTGTCTGTTCAGAAATTAGTTTCTTTCAAAGAGATGTTGGTTTATGATACTGAGAACAGTGAGAGGTAAATAAGAGTGTAGGAGGAAGAATAATTTTAGAACAGTTGAAGCTGCTGTTGACAATAGGTCAGGCAAAATAAAATTAAACTAATATACTATTCAGCATCTTCATAATTAATTAAATGGCATTTTGTTGGTTTTTCATGTAGTGACCAGTGGGAGCCCATTATGTGTCAAATTTTAGGACTACCACAGTAAACGAGATTGACAAAGTCCCTGCTCTGGAGTGCTAGATGTTCTAGTCAGGGGAGATATATAATAAATGGATGGATTTAAGATACCAATAAATGTTGTGATGAACACAAACCAGTGTTGTTTGAGGTGAGGGGCTAACTACGTCACTTAAGGAGACCAGGAAAGGTCTTTCTGAAAAACAGAGCTGAGAGCTGAATGATGAAAATGAATTGTCTTTGAAAAATGGAGGGAACAACTCTATAGACTGGAACAGAATGCATAAAGGTCTTAATACAGGAATGAGTTTGGTTTATTAAAGAAAAATAGACCGCCGGGCATCGTGTTGCATGCCTTTAATCCCAGCACTTGGAAGGCAGAGGCAGGTGGATCTCTGTGACTTTGAGGCCAGCCTGGTCTACATAGTTGGAGCTACAGGGAGACCTGTCTCAAAAAGACCAAAAGAAAGAAAAATAGACCATTATAGTTGAAGAATAGGAATTGGTGAATTATGTGTAGGGACAAGTGCTAGGTCAGGTAAAGTTTAATGGGGTTTTCTTTGGGGTTTTTTTGTTTTTTTTTTTTTTGAGACAGGGTCTCCTGGTAGCTCCAGCCAGCCTGGGAGTCGCTATGCAGACCAGGCTAGCCTTGAACTCAGAGATCTGCCTGCCTCTGCCTCCCAAGGGCTGGGATTAAAGGCGTGCACCACCACGCCTGGCCAGGTAAAGTTTAGTGTTAAGCCATAGTAAGAATTTGCATTTTTTGCTTTTGTTTTTTGGTCTTTTTGAGACAGGGTCTCCCTGTAGCCCCAGCTGACCTGGAACTCACTATGTGGACCAGGCTGGCCTTGAACTCACAGATCCGCCTGCCTCTGCCTCTGAAGTGCTAAGATTAAAGGCATGTGTCACCAAGCCTGGCCTATTTTTTAATTTCTTAAATTGACTTAGGGGACTGGAGAAATGGTTCAGTGGGTAAAAGCACTTATCAAGGAAACCTAAATACCTGAAATTGCTCCCTAGGAGAAAACCAACTCCTGAAAAGTTGTCTTCTGACTTCCATGTGCATGTTGTACCACACATGTCTCACACATATACAGTAATAATAAATTGGGGACCAGAAAAATGACTCAGCAAATAAAGGTACTTGTTGCCAAGCCTAACAAACTGAGTTTAATCCCCAGGATCCACATGATTGAAGAAAACTGACTTCTACATGATATCCTCTGATACCTTCACATGTGTGCCATGGCATGCATGCCACTTCCACACACACAAATAGATGCAACTAAGATGATAATAGCCAGGCATGGTGGCGCACACCTTTAGCACTCAAGAGGCAGAGGCAGGCAGATATCTGTGAGTTCAAGGCCAGCCTGATCTATGTAGTGAATTTCAGGCCAGTTGGTGCTACATAGTAATACTCTGTCTCAAAACAACATTAACAATAATAATAAATTGGTTGGGAACTAGGACTTGGTCCTAGATTGGATTTTGGGGCTAGAGAAGAAATGGCTTAGCAGTTAAGCACGCTTGCTACTTTTTTTTTTTTTTTTGGTCTTTTTGAGACAGGAACCCCAGCTGGCTGGGAACTATGTAGGCCAGGGTGGGACTAAAGGCATGCGCCACCGCACCTGACTTTGTGCTTGCTTGCTACCCTTGCAGAAATCCCAGATTTAGTTCCTAGAGTCCACACTGGTTGGCTCACAGCAACCTGTAACTCCGACTCCAGGGGATCCAACGCCTTCTTCTGGCTTCCTCAGGCACTGACATACAGCTGCACATATGTACATAAAAACAAAATCATTAAATTTAGAGAATTAAAAATATTAAGCCATTGGACTAGAGAGATGGTTCAACCCTTAACTCATACTGCTCTTGTACAGGACACAGCCTTAACTATGTAGACTTTCCTGGCCTGGAACACTCTATGTAGATCAGACTGGCTTTGAATTCACAAAGATCCTTCTGCCTCTGAATTTTGGGGGGTATTTTGTTTTGTTTTATTTTAATTTTATGTATTATTTTTATTTTATGTGTATGTGTGTATTGCCTGCATGTATGTAAGTGCACCGGTGTCATGCAGTGCCCGTGGAGGAACGAAGAGGTTGTCGGATCCCCTGGAACTGGAGTTAGGGACAGTTGTTAGCTGCCATGTGGGTGCTGGGATTTGAACCTGGGTCTTCTGCAAGAACAGTCAGAGCTCTTAACCACTGAGCCATCTCTCCAGCCCCTTTTGGGTTTTTTTGTTGTTGTTGTCGTTTATTTATATTTTTGGTGTTTTTGAGACAGGGCCTCCCTGTAGCCTCAGCTGGCCTGGAACTCACTACGTACACCTGGCTGGCCTCGAACTCACAGAGATCCGCCTTCCTCTGCCTCCTGAGTGCTGGGATTAAAGGCATGTGCCACCATGCTGGGCTTATTATTTTTAGTTTATCTTACTTTTATGTATATGAGTGTATTGCCTGCATGTATGTAAGTGCACTTATGTTGTGCAATACCTGCAGCGGTCAGAAGAGGGTATCAGAACTTAGACCTGGAGTTAGGGCAGTTGTTAGCTGCCATGTGGGTACTGGGTATCGAACCTGGGTCTTTGGCAAGAGCAGCCAGTGTTCTTAACCACTGAGCCATCTCTCCAGCCTCTGTTTTTGGTTTTTGAGACAGGGTCTCACTATGTACAGAGAACCCAATTTGATTCCCACCATCTATGTTGGGAAGCTCACAACTCCAACTCCAGAAGAATCCACCACCTCTGGCCTCCACAGGCACCAGCACATACTCACACAGAGACCTACACATATACACATAACTAAAAGTAAAATAAATCTTGTTTTGGTTTGGTTTGGTGGTTTTTTTGTTGCTGTTGTTTTTTTTTTTTTTTTTGTTTTTTTTGAGACAGGGTCTCCCTGTAGCCCCAGCTGACCTGGAACTCACTATGTAGACCAGGCTGGCCTTGAACTCACAGAGACCCACCTACCTCTGCCTGCAAAGTGCTGGGACTACAGACATGCATCACCATGCCTGGCTAATAAATCTTGTTTTAATTCATTTTTATTTTATGTATGTGAGATTATGCCTACCTGTATGTGAGTGTACCTATGTCTTAGAGTGCCCATGGAGGACAGAAGAGTGCATCGGATCCACTGGAACTGGAGCCCCCCGAAAAGACTAGACTAGCCTAGACTAAAGAATAATTATACCCTGCCTTCAAAAAAAGAAAAGAAAGAAACAACAAACTAAAGAAGGAAGGAAGGAGAGTGAAAAGAGACACAGAAGGAAACAGGGGAGTGATGTTAGTGGAGTGATGTTAGTGGTAAGTGAGGAATACATTGGGAGAATGGAGATAAGAGGCAGGAGCAACATCCTAAGCTCTTAGATGAGTATATTTTGACATTTATACTAGACATATGGATACAGAGGTTAAGTAAGTAGTGGGATACATTTTAAGTTCAAAGATACAATTAGGGCTGTAAATATGGAACTCATCTTCAAGTAAATGGAAAATATACTACTAGACTCTTGTCATTCAAGTGGCTAGGAAATGTTAGGTAGGTATTCTTTCCCTTAGTAATAATAGCCTGTGGTAGTGGGGCGTGGTGGCACACACCTTTATTCCCAGTACTCAGAGGCCAGAGGCAGGCGGATCTCTGTGAGTTCAAGTCCAGCCTGGTCTCCATAGTGAATCCAGGCCAGCTGTGGCTACAGGGAGACCCTGTGTCAAAAAGACCAAAAAAAAAAAGATACTAATAGCCTGTGGTTACACTCTTTTTTATATATTTTAGCCTTTATTTATTTGATGGAGAGGGTGTCTGCACCACACCTGTGGAGGTCAGAGAACAGTAGGAGTCGGTTCTTTGCCTGGAAGCCATCTTGCCAGCCCCTAGCTTGTATTGTTAATGCTCTGGTTGTCAAGCGTCATGACAAGCTCTTTTCTTACTGAGCCATCTCGCTGGCCCTGTTTTACCATTTTGACTTCATGCATATGGAACAGCTGCGATCCTGATCATTTCATCTGATCCACCAAAAAAAAATCGTTTACTTATTTTTGGTCACAACTGGCAATTCATGGTTGGTTGGTTGGTTGGTTGGTTGGTTGGATTTTTGAAACAGGGTCTCACTGTGTCGCACTGGCTGACCTGTCACTCCTTCTATAGACCCAGGCTGGTCTTGAACTCACAGAGATCTGCCTGCTTCTGCTTCCTGAGTGTTGGGATTTAAGGTGTGTAGCAGCATACTCAGTATTATTTTTATTTTTAATTGTGTGTGAGGGTATGTGCACCTGAGTGCAGGTGCCCTCAGAGGCCAAAAGCAGCTAAAGTTTGATGCCCTTGCAGCTAGAGTTAAAGGTTGTTGAGAACTGCCAAACTTGAACGCTAGAACCAAACTCAAGTCCTCAGCAAAATCGGTATACACTCTTAACCACTGAGCCACCTCTCCACTCCCCTGATTAGTGTTTAAGGTTTGGTTTCTTTCAGCAAGAATTTGAAGTCAGAGGAGATGTCGTGAATGGAAGAAATCACCAAGGTCCCAGACGATCAAGAGAATCCCAGGAGAAGGTAAAGCCGATCCCTCATGTGGCTAGAAACCCCAGCCACAGCTCTACAGCCAAATGCGTTGGTGGGGCTGGTCTTCACCTGTGGGGCACATTGCGTGCTTGTTGCTATAGCACTGACTGGGCAGTGGCACCATCTCATTGTTGTAGTTCTCTCAGCCTGACAAGGCAAACTGATAATTTTTGCCTCAGCAGTAAGAACACCTGACAGTGGCTGTTGTTTGGATTGCAGTCTGAGGTTCAAATCTCAGCTGGCAGTGGTAGAGCTTGGATTTCAGGGATGAGAACCTAAAAACCTTTGCTCTTTCTGCTTCACTGCTTCTAAAGCAGTGTGGTAGGTACTGAAAGTAGGGAGTACCTGGTGCAACCTGTGGACACGTAGAAGAGGAAGTGATTCATAATCAACAGTAGCTAGCAGTTATGTTTGCTGTATGCCAGGGGTTGCTCTAATCTATAACATGTTTTAACTAGCAATTTTCCAGCACCTCTATGATCACCTTTTTTTTGAGACAGGGTCTCCCTGTAGCCTCAGCTGTCCTGGAACTATGTGGACCAGGCTGGCCTCGAACTCACAGAGATCTGCCTGCCTCTGCCTCCCAAGTGCTGGGATTAAAGGCATGTGCCACCACGCCTGGCTTTGATCACCTATTTTTTACATATGAGAAAATTGAATCTTAGATAGGTTAAATTCCCCAAGGTCACTTAGCTAGTGAGAGAATTAGAAGTTGAACCCAGGCACTCCAGCTCCAAATCTAAATTCTTGACAATGTCATGCTTTTAGGTCGTTATAGATGGTTTCTCAGGAGAAAAACTGATTATTCCAACAACTGTACAACAGTGATTTTTCCCCAGATCATATTGCAACAGGTGACACAACCAGAACTACATTCTCTTCAGAGCAGGCAGAAGTCGAAGGGAGATTTCACACCTGCCTGATGGGCCTGAGCTAACTACTTTCTCAGGTTACTAGATGACTACTTGGGTTCCCAGTTTGTTTTTCTTCTTTTTCAAGTGTGCACCACCACATGTTTCCGAACATTCCCATACGAAGTGCCTTCTGTGCCTTCACAGAAACTTGAGAGGAGACTAGTAGAGGTAGTGTTTCTAAGGAAAACTGCTTTGGAAATGGATCATAACACAAATCTAACCTAGGTTCTGAACCCTTGGGATCAGCCCATCCTCACTCTTGAGTCTATCAGATCACTACTCTGGATGCCAAGAGAAGCTGCTTGCCCTACTTCATACTTCTGCCTTCACCCAGGGCGCTCCCTGTGTGCCAACCATTTGTTTTTACCCTGCTGGATTTCAGCAGAAGTAGCCCTGGGTCCCTTCTTCCTCAAAGGAAATCCCAGTGCATTGGGATTTCTCTTACATTCAGCATAGCAATGATGGAAAGTGCTTGGTCAAAGTAGTAACATAGAAAAGCACTTGTAGAAGTGAACTTCACATTCCTTATCCCATAACTAGGCATTCTCATCAGTAAGTGTCAGCCTGACAGCCTGAATATGGAAATTCCTAATCTTTTATACTTTTCAAGGCAGCATTTGGCTCCAACTGGTTGCCTGGGGAGAACTTTTGGCATTTATGGGCATCTAGGTCCTGTCAACAAACTGAGATCCATTTTATATATACAGATAGGGAGATTGGCACTGGTAAAACACTCACTATAGACAAAAACAGATTTGTCCTGTCTTTTTTTTTTTTTTTTTTGAGACAGTCTCACTGTGTAACTCTGACTTGCCTAAAGCTTGCTATGTAGACTAGGCTGACCTTGAACTCACAGAAATCCTCCTGCCTCTTCCAGGATTAAAGACGTGCACCACCACACACTGCCTGCTGTCCTTTTTTTTTCCCCTCTGCCTTCGAAGTATGTTTGGGGGATGCTGTTTTCTATAAGGCTATCTGTGTTATTAACCCCCAATTTTTCTCTATCTCAGTCTGAGTCTAGGTGATATTTAGACCTAGACAGTTTATTTTAGTGACATGGGATGGTAGGAAGAGGATCAAGAGAATGAGAGTTACCCAAAATGATAAATAAAAATATATCCATCCAATCCAGGTGTGATGGCACATACCTTTAGTCCCAGCACTTGGGAGGCAGAGGCAGGCAGATCTCTGTGAGATGGACAACAGCCTGGTCTACATAGTAAATCTCAGACCATCTGAGACTATAGAGAGACCCTGTCTCAAAAAGACCAACAACTGAAAAAAAGGACTATAGAATGCAGATCAACTTCAAATACAGTTCAGTAATATCTTAAATCGAGAGTTGAGAATATTGGACTGACTGTCTCCTGGAAGGAACACAGAAATTGTCAGGTAGTAAAGAAAGGTTTTTTTTTAGGCGGCGGGGGGTGGAAGGGTGGGGGGGTGTGGTCTGTATCTTTTTTAATAAAAACCCGTAATCTGCTGGACATCGTGCATTCCTCTCATTCTAGTACTTGGGAGGTAGTGGCAACAGGATCAGGAGTTCAAGCCCAGCTTACAGTGCAAGTTTGAGGCCAGCCTGGCCAATGTGAGACCATCTCAATAAAGGGCAGGGGGACTAGAGAGATGGCTCAGTGGTTAAGAGTGCTTGCTACTCTTCCAGAGCTACCTGAGTGTTTGGTTTCAGCACCCACATCAGGTAGCTTACAACTAACCACCTGCAACTCCAAGGAATCCAAAGCCCTCTTCTGGCCTCTGGGAATACATACACACGCCAGCCTGGCCAATGTGAGACCATCTCAATAAAGGGCAGGGGGACTAGAGAGATGGCTCAGTGGTTAAGAGTGCTTGCTACTCTTCCAGAGCTACCTGAGTGTTTGGTTTCAGCACCCACATCAGGTAGCTTACAACTAACCACCTGCAACTCCAAGGAATCCAAAGCCCTCTTCTGGCCTCTGGGAATACATACACACGTGACATATTCATTCTCTCTCTCTCTCTCTCTCTCTCTCTCTCTCTCTCTCTCTCTCTCTCTCTCTCACACACTCTCCCTCCCCCTCCCCC